CCAAAGTAGGAACCAATCTGAAAATTGTATAGGGTAAAAATTATGTTCATGTCATCCAAGTAAAAAATGATGCCAGTGCAAGGAAGTTCTCTGGTTTCCTCTCTGCAACCACTGAACTAATGCACCTTTGCACATTTCCATAAAGGTGCAACATACAACAGCTCTAAATGCAAAAAAAGAAAGAACAAAAAGTTATGCAGCAGATTTGTTCAAAGAAATCAGCTTGCTTTCTTCAATGTATTCAGGGTCCAGCAGCAATTCTAGGTTTTACTGAGCAATGTTATCTCAAAGGTGAGAGTAAACCTGCCTCTTGGACAGTCTCCTGTTATTCAAGTAGAAAACTAGCTTCAGGGGAAATGTCCTAAAAATTATACAGAATGGTGGCATAACTAAAAGGCTTTTTAAACATGCAATGGAAGATTGAGGTTCAAACATGCTAAGCATATCAGGCATATTCAGAATATGTATGATAAACCAACTTGAAAAAAAGTTCCAAAGACAGTTACCAACCTGGTCCCCATTTACTCTTTGGGCTGCGATCCAGTTCTTACAATCATGTCTGAAAAGTACGACCTGTCCTGTGTGCTCAAATCTTGGTGCACCCGTGAAATATAGAGGAGCTTTATTCTTCTCTCCAACAGAAATGGAGAATCCTGCAACAGTGTCAGTCACATATGATATAATCTGCTAAATGTTAACTCACATCCGGTCATAAATCATGTCCAGAGATTATAATGCAGTGAAGGAAGTGTTCAGATTATAAAATTATGTTGATTCTTAAGGAAGTGCCCTTTGTTTTCGTACAGGTTTAGCCCCCCTGAATATTGTCATGTAGACGTGTTCAGGGCGGGACTCTTATCAAACACGAGAAGTTTCGTTGAGATTGGACCATGTACACTGAAGTTAGGACAACTTCCTGTTTATGGCGAATCGTTGAAATTCGACGCCACACCATAGGCACAACATTCAACAGAATTCGTAAATAGCATAACTTTTAATTATGAATGTTGTTAGATTGCACTGATTCAATTTGAAGTTGAGCTAATAAATTCCCTAGGAGGAGTTTGTTCAAATCACCAGTAATGACCGCTAATGACCCTTTCACAGGGTCAATAAAGAAGCACATAATCTGAAAATAAATAAATAACTTTATGTACAATACCCATATAAGAGTCTTTATGCATCTGTGGATCTTCAATTTGTGTTTGGATGTTTCCTTGAATCACTTGGAGAGAACCATGCCAGCTGTTTGACAGCACTGAACCCAGAATCAAGGTATCCTGTTGACAGAAAAGTGCAGTGTCTGGTGACAAATCAACTACTTTACAGATATCAAAGAGTCATGCTCACAGTCATCAGACTTTTCTTTCCCTTGGGCATGGGGGGTATGGATCCCTATGAAGATGATGTCACACACCTACTGTATAAAGGATTTAATAAAAATTTTAAAGACCTTGTTTGCAGTTTTACAGGTATAATGGTGGTCTGTTGGGAAACAGCTTTTTTTTAAATTGTTCTCAAGCCAATAAATGTACTGATTGTTGAATTGTTGGTAGTTTATACTATATACATATGAGCTGCCATACTTCTGTTACTTTTCTTACAGAGTAGCTGCTCAAGGCATATTTGTTGCCAATACATGTATAATTTAAATAGAAGTCTGGGACTAGGGTAACCAGATCACAACAAACCAGATTTGTGTGTTATAATGTGGAACATGTTACCAATACTAAAAGTCTGGAATATTTAATACAAAATTTAACAAACTTGAAGAATAAAGATTTCTATTCTGCCCTTTAGTGCATACACTATCTATAGCAAGCTTTGCTGCCCTGTGGTTGAGTTAGTAGCACACAACAGAGTATTCAGGTTACAGTTTAAGCCTTTTAGTATGTGAGGGAATTAACAAACATATTTTATTTGAATAAACTTCCCTAACTCCCATGCTAAGTAAATACAGTAGGCATTAAAAGGAAGATCCTTCTTATGGTCTTATGCGATAGTCTGCGATAGTCGCTTTCCACCAGATTCACCCAGCTCTAAGTAGTTTCCTAGTCTTTGTTGCAGCAGCATTTCCCGTTCTTTGTGGTAGTTTCCATCATTGCCTAAATCTGCACAGCTTGTGATTTGCAATATTCTCAGTTGGGACAGGTTCTGAGCATCAAACAGCCACGTGCCAGAAAACCCTATCTGGGACCTGTATTATTATGTATACATTATTGATACCATACTGACAGGTCAAATGTTGGTGCTAAAATCAAAGGTCCAAATTTAAAATCTGTAAAATTTTTAATTTGTCAAAATTTTTCTTTTCAACTTTACTCACCTTGTAGAAGGCAGCACTGAATCCACTCTGTGACATTTCATTAGTAAGGTTTTCTGACCGAGCCACTTTGGAGCCTAAATATAAAGGCATAGTAACATTTCATGTTACTATTACAGGGGCACACCAGGAAGATAAGCATGATTGTCATGACTACATTATTTCACAAGAGATATAAAAAAAGAAAAAAAGATTACCTTCCATTTGAAAGATCTT